GAAACAGACATGAAAAACAGCGTGTTTCTGCTTCCACTCAAAATAGGCATTTTCAAAATTATAATAATAAATGATCTGTGGGGTATTTTGAGCTGAAACTTCACAGACACATTGTGGGGACACCAGAGACTTATATTACATATTGTTAAAAGGGGCATAATATGTCTCCTTTAATTTCCAAACAAAAAAAATATTAAGCAGTTAAAAACTGGTAATAATAAGAATGTGTCACTCACTGCGGAAAATTCAGCTTTACCACCACAGGAATAAATTACATTTTAAATTATCTTAAAATAGTAAAGTTACTTTAAATTGTAATAATATTTCATAATATTACTGTTTTACTATATGTAAATGCAGGCTTAAGGTCCTTGCACACTGAGTCCGAAATTTTCGTTTGTGTGTTTTTTCTTTTTTTTCATATTCATCATACTTTCCTATCAAAATGCTTGCTACGGATTAGTGTTGGGCGATATGCTCAATTTTCATATCGTCCTATCGTCAGCCTGTGAGATCGCCGATACATGATATTATCGTGCTAATTTATGTAACTATTTACTTGAGAAAGTGAACCAACTCCAGCGTAAGGCTAAAAGCAGCCTAATGTTTTTAATATGACTGAATTTGTATTTAACATGATAACAAATGAATAGAAACATCGTAAGTTACTAATTATAATGCTTACATTTCCTCAGTTATTCAAAAAGCAGCTACAGAAAACGAGCAAAGAACATTACATTACCAAAGAACATCATCACAAGCTCAGTCTAGCACGAGTTTATGCACTTTAAAAACACTCCCGTTAAAATCAGTGAATATACACTGTATGATGAATAAATCTCTAATACTTACATCGCACGTACATCTGCACATTGTTGTTTATGAGGAGAGAATTCGCGAGTCAGAATTCAGTCACTCAGCGCGCACTGAACAACAGAACTCCGCTGTTTCAGTGATGACTCATCTGAACGCATCTGATTGGCCATTGCATTCATAAGCTCAGCATAATCGTGTGTGATTGGTTAAAACGCGCAATACTAATAATAATAATAATAATCGTCTTGCTATCGTCAAAGGCATCAGCCACAGGCAATATCTGTCTATCTTCGATACACGATACTATCGTCTATCGGCACAACCCTACTACGGATGCAAAAACGCAGATAATCGAACCTGGTCCGATTTTTTTATGACGGACGAAAGTTTCAGAGGCAGTGTGTAAACATGATTGACACAACATGAGGTCGTATTTATTTTTTAACATGCGAAAATTTCGGACAAGAATTTTGGACTCAGTGTGCCAAGACCTTTAGTGAGCAAGAGCCTTCTTTCAAAAACGTTAAAACAAAATTAACCAACCCCACACTTTTGAACAGTAGTGTGAAAGGAGGAATAGGATCAGGACACATCACTAGCAGGATTCAAATTTCAAACCAGTGTCACCCACATGAAAAAGTCTGAAGGCCAAACAAGTGCACAAAAAACAAAAGCATTTCCTTTATAAAAAAAAAGGCTGTAGACGTTTATAACTTCCTGCTTTTCAGCATTAAAGAATGCTTAAACCAATAATGCAATAAAGAAAGTTGTTCCGTTCATCTAAAATGACCTTAAATCAAATCAAAGATTCATCCTTTAAGCAGTAAAAGTAAGGACATAACACCCAATATGGACTTCAAGTAACCAAATCGTGCTCCCAAAATACTTCTGGGAATGGGATAATTGTTCAAGTGTTGTGCTGTGGCAAACACTAAAAATGAATTGAAACAAATCCTCCAAATCCTCCTGGGTGAAGCTCTCGTACCTGTTCTGCTCCTCTAGTTTGGCCAACAGCTCCACATCATCCACATCATCCGGGGACGGGGAAGCTGAGGAGGGCGAGGACAGCGAGGCCATGGATGAAGCCACAGTGGTATGCAGCGAGGAGGGGGTGGCCACCTGACTAGCCATCTGACTCACCGTGAGCGACACTGAGTTCTTCACCCATGAAAGAGTCGAACTCAGCTTGCCTGCTACCTTGTCTGTCGCCACCTTTGGAAAAATGAAAGAAACGGGTTTAATTGTAAAAATTAATTCAGAAAACATCTTAAAGTCTTGATTTTAGTAAACTAAAGGATATTATACATTTCTTGTTATAAAAAGTGCTTCCTATTTTTATATAATATATGATTTGTCGAACAACATGATAGTTTCAGGGTTTAGCCTCTAAAAATGTACAAATATTTGAAATAATCATCATGTGTTCTTCTAAATCTTTATTTTGATTCAACTGCTTCTAACACCTAATGCAATAATGAAAACACATTCTTATGTAAACCTAAGCTACATAAATGGCGTTATAAATTGGTAGATATTGAATAATGAAATTGAACAATGCAATAAACTGTGAAACCAACTAAGACCATTTCTTCAATAAGATGCTTTAAGAAATAAAAAAATAACTGTTTCAACTTTGTTAGCAAGGATGCTGAGATGGCCTGACAGACTGAGAGCCTAAATATCTCACACAGACATTCTCATGTATGGAAAAACTCCGGTCAGTAACAGCTTTGTACTGTCCAATATTTGAATGTGGCAAAGTTCTCAATACCGCATACAAACACAATGGTTTTCATACTTGGTTTGGACTGCACTATGCAATTGTTCACTTTCCCTTTTATACCTTTTTTGTCTGTGATTTTAAAAACACCCATAAAAGCACTATTTTTAAAACTAATAAATTTCACCCAAAATTTAACATTTTCTTTCTTCCACAGAACACAAACGAGGATATATTGAAGAATTTTGATGACCTAACAGTTGTGGTTACAAAAAAAAAAAATTTGACATTTCTCACAATATATTTT